TCTAGTTTCTGGTGACTCCAAAATTCCCACAGAAGCTTGGAGCAGGGGGACAGCGGCAGGAATATTACTTGTGAGCTCATCATCTTAACAACATGTTTTAGCTGCCAGGAACTTGCTGTTCCTTGAGCTAGAGAAATATCTCCTGGGCTCCAGATTCCCTGGATGTTGGTCCAGGTGCAATTCAACAGGGACACAATATGTATTTTATCATAATGATGTTGTATTTCACCATTATGATGAAATCATAATAATGATGTTGTATTTCAGGTTTGAGATTTTATTTGGTGACCCCTGTACCATTCCCAGAAAGGTCCACTATATGGACAAGTCACTTGCTGTGTAATCAGGACAAAGGACTTCATAATTCTTCAATTGTAAAATAAGAGACTCAGATGAGATGATCTATACGGTTCTGTCCAGCATTATGGTCCCAAATACAAACTCCATGAGACTTAAATAAGATATTGCTCTGGGCTTGAGGGTAGGTGGTATATCCTAGCTCAGCAGCAAAGCTTGAAGGACAAACAAAAAAACGGGCAAGCAAGCGAACACCTCAGGCTGAGGAACAGGATGAACCAAAACACCTGCAGGTGCCTTCCACAGACCTCGTCATCGGAACTGTTGTAGCTCCCTGCAAACTCTTTGTCCGAGTATATTCTGGAGGTCGTCTGTTGCAGGAAATCAGAGATCCTCTGCACTAGAAAGTCTCTATCTTTCAAGTTGGCAAACAGGAAAGTCATCCTGTTCCGGGTGCTGATCGATAAAGGACTGGGGAGTACGCTGGAGCTGTCTGCCTTTTCTACAATTGTCACCTCAAAAGAAACAGGAAACAAAGAACATTACTTCCCAGGGATTCCCCCACGCCAGCCCCTGATCAGGACTAAAGAAGGGCTGCAGCACTCTTATGTCCTGCAGGAACCACTCATGTTTTATTGAGGCAAACTGAGATCCTTTGACTCTGTTCCAATCAAATAAAACAGCAAATCAAAGTGGAGCTCATACCAGAAGCTAGAATCATCTTGCTGGTTTTTCTAAATCATTACGTCCAAACTGAGAGTGATTTTATGCCCCCAATGAGCAATTTTATGTTACACTGGGCAACAGCTGGAGGCATTTTTGGTTGTCACAGTGGAGGGTACAGCTGGCACTTAGTAGGCAGAGGCCAGGATGCTCCTAGACATCCTATGGTGCACAGGACAGCCCGCCCCCAACGCAGCCCGGCTCAGGATGCACACAGTGCCAAGGCTGAGAAACCTTGTGAAGGAATTCGCTGATTTTCATTAAAATTTCATGGAGCCATAAAGGAGAAGACTCCTAGCTGCTGCATTATGCATATGAGACAAAAAACAGTCCTGATAACGGTTCCTTTTACCAAGCTTAATGTTGAGATTGTCAGAATACCAGCAATCTTTCAAATGTCTCCCTGGGATCCTAGGGCTTTGCAGCCCTCAACCCCTATTGCTTCAGAGACTCGATTCTGAACAGACATGATGTAAACAGCTTAACTGCAACCCCATCTGCATGGGGGATGGTGTGTGTGTGTGTGTGAGAAAGGGAGAGAGAGAGAGATGAAGTAAGTCTACCACATCAGGAGAGAAGTACAAAAGGGAGACATCTGTTTTAGCTCTGAACTGAAGACATACATTTGGTGGTTTATAATAGGATTTTCATCAACTGGAAACTAGGATAAGTGCATTAGAACTTTTTTTCTTTAACACATTAGGAAAAAAACACCAAACAAAAAACCCTCCAGGCAAGCCCTAGAGAAATGGCTTAATTGCAGTGGATCTGACTATATAATTAAAGTTTTTCCCCTTCTTCATTTCTACCTGCAAGCAGTCTAGACAGGTCCAACTTGAACCTCTTCATCAGCATTTTCATGTGAAATACAATTTCCTTCAAAGCAGAACTTTAAAAACTTTTCTCTCCCTCTCAAGGCTAAGGAGCCTATTGACGCTGCCTAAAAAGTTCATGGGTCAAGTGCAAAGTGGCCATCACCAGGATCCATAAAGGGACAAACCGCAGGACCTGCCTTCTATGCTCGGGTTTCATAATTACACATAGTTAGATATATATTTTAAAGGAATCACATTCTTTTTTCCTAATGCAAAAAAGGAGCTAGAGAAACGGGGAAAAACCTTATCACGAATAGGATTTTCCCATGACACTTAGGGCAAAAGTTAAACAATGCTTGCTCTTAAATGACCTATAAAAGCTCCTTTTCTCACAACAATTTTTTTTCCTGATTTTTCTGGGCACCAGGTGTTGGGACTAAGTGGCAGATGTCAAGGGAATTAAAGGTTCAAGTTCTGTACCTAAAACCCAGAGAGCTCTGTGGATCTTGATAAAGTCCAAGTGGAAAGTCCTTTATCTGGCTGGATCATAAACACAGAAACAGCCAGCAATCTCCCACATAAAACACATGGATGCTTGCTCACACACGGGTTACAAAACATTTGTCATCAAAAAATGAGTCCTAGTACATCTGTATCCCATAAGCTTTGTGCCACCAGGAAAGGGTAATAGCTATGTTCAAGTATTTTACAGTTTAATGAAACACATTTTCATTACCTTGGGTTATAAAATAGACTGGAACTTAATCAAATCTTGGAGTTTAATATGGAACACTCACAAGGTAATTTGTCATTGAAAAAAAAGGGGGGAGGGCGCTGCATCTGGAACCTTTACCCAATGAGGAATCTGATTCGTTCACTTTATGTTCCTACTTTGCTGCCTCAAAAATTTCTTCAAAATCTACAGCAATGTGATCCTGTGTAATCACTGATGATCTGTTGATTGGGTCTCCCCTGAGTCTAGATGTAGAATATATGTTAATAATCTCCAGTTAATTCCTAGTGCAGCTAACGCTAAAAATGGCCATTCCAAATAGGACTGAACATTCCTACAGAGGCCCCTGCTGATCCATGAGCTTAACTCAGTTCCTGAAGGTGCCCGTCCAGGGAGACCCGCTCTCTACCCAGATTCCGGAAAGAGGGTGGGTGGGGGCCCCACCCCTTGGCTTTGTCATTATCGTTACCGAAAGGTAATAAAAAGTACATTAAGTCCTTTGCTTCTTCCATTAGTGGGGTTAGGGCTCCACCGTTAATTTATCTCAGAGATTTGTCAGGGTAAGGGGGGGGCACTGCCGCTTCATGAGCTGCATCCGCCAACCAAAGCATGCTTTACTTCTAAAGGCTCCCTCCACTCTGCCCCTGCTCCGAATTCACCCTGAACTGCCACTGAGTTCTCTGTCCTACTACCTGTTAGAAAACTAGCAAGCAGAAGATGGACTGAGAATATTAACCCCCACGCTCCCAATTCCCCTGGCTCTCACTATGGTTTTGTAATCGCACTAAAATGTAAACAACTAGCTGGACCCAAAACCTTGGCAGGTTCTGAACAGGAGAGCAGGTGTCCTGAGAACGCCTTCAGCCCTTCTCTGCTTATTTTCCTCTGGTTCAGAGAGTGATAACTCGCTCAGATTCATAAACAGCACCTCCATGGTTATTCTTTTACATATATATATATTTTATTGCTTTTTAGAGACAGAGGAAGGAGGAGAGAGAGAGAGAGAGAGAAACATCATTGATGTTTCCTGCACATCCCGTCCTGGGATTGAGCCTGCAACCCGGGCATGTGCCCTGATCTGGAATAGAACAATGACCTATTGGTTCAGGGGTCGACACTCAACCATTGGGCCTCACTGGCCGGGCCATGGTCCATTCTTAATCTCAAGATGGGTTTCCCTAACCCTTTTAGGCAACTCTACTGCACTCAGGTAGTACTTGATGAAGAAAATTAAGTTAGTAATAACAGTTTATGGCAAAGAAGGTAAATTGGCTGAAAAAGTTTTAAAACCCATTTCAGAGTCAAATGTAAACACTGTTGAATTACCCATCTCAGCATTCACCATCAAAAAAGTACCTTGGTCTCAAAAAGTGTTATAATACCAGTTAGCTCATCTTATAAGAAGAACTAGATGTGTCAATCACCCAACATTTTCCATTCTCTTTAGTCCATCAATTCAGCTGCTAGGACTTTATAAATTAAGGAAAATTATACATTTGATTGGGAGAAAACGAAAAATAATGCAAAGGTCCAATCATAGGTAACTGAATATATAAAGTATATATCCAGTGAATGATATATTATGCAGTCATTAAAAATTACATTGTAAAATAGTATTTAGTGATACAGGGAAAAGTTTAAATATATACTCGCTGTTAAAGGAAATAAGCAAAAAAATAAAAATTCTCTTTGTTTCGTAACTAAATAGCATCAATGCTATACACATAGCAAAGTGCAGAAAAAGCCTGGAGAGCATTACAGCAGAATGTCCACAGTGGTTGTCTTTGAATGGTGGGACGAGGGGTGAATTTTGTTTTTTTTTTTATTTGTCTATATCTCTATACAAATTTTCTGTAATGGTAGTGTATTATTCTTAAAAGAAGAAGAAAAAAAAACACAGAGAAAAAAGTGTTTACATAAATGATTCAAAAAAAAGAAGGCAGAGGGACACTTGAATCCTTGACTCCAGGAATCTTAACAAAGGGCCCACCTTAGTAACCAAAACTTCTAACCACCTTCGCTTCTAGAAAGGATCAGGGGAGGTTGAAAGTCTCCAGGTTAGAAACTGCAGGACTGCCAGCCCCTGACACCCTCACCTGGAGCTCCTTCTCAACCCAAACCTCAAGCAAGGTTCCCACACCATCACCACTGTGAAGGACGATAGAGCCCTCCTCCACCCCAGATACAATACAAATGCTCCTTAGTCTTGACTGCACATGAGAATCAGCCTGAGCTTTATTAAAATGCAGATTCTAAACTTGCAGAGATTCAGACTCAGCAGATCTGGCTGGGCTCAGGAATCTGCCACTGTGGCCAAACGCCCTGGTGGTTCCAGTGCAAGGAGCAGGAGGACCAGATCTGAACAACACTAGGCCATCTCCTTCAGACCAAGCTGCCCCTCAGGCTGTGAGCGAGGTGTAATAACTACATTTTCTAGTTTCTGTATTTGATGCTTTGGCATCTTGGGGCGTTGTAGACCCTAGTAGGACCACCCTTCCAGAGTTAGACAACTCCTAAAGACTCATCTGGGAGGGGGCCTTTCATCTGCAAACCAACCCATCTGGAGCTCACACCCCAACCACCCCCTTTATCCAGCTCTCACCCCAGGACCAGGTATCATATAACAAGGAACGGCCCCTACGCTCCAGACCCATTGAAATTATTCATACCAGCCAGTACAAAGCCTGCTTACCCTGCTTCATCTGTTCCTTCCCTTGGAAACCACAATAAATACTCTTATGCAGTTTCCCCTGCTCCCTTTGCCTGCTGACCGACCCTGGTACTTATCCAAGGGGCCCCCATGGTTCCTCCCAGTGGGATCTGTGAGTTTAACAATCTCTTTGTTCTTTCTTTTTTTATTTTTTCTTTTATTGCACTCTCACTTATTCATTTTTATTGAATTTATTGGGATAACATTGGTTAATAAAACTATATAGGTTTCAGGTGAACAATTCTACAGTACATCTTCTGTATATTGTAGTGTGTTTTCACCACCCCAGAGATACAATCTATCTTTCAATGGCACTCATCTCCTGATCCGTTGGCCTCACCAAACCTGAATAATAAAAAAATCTCCATTGTAAAACACTAGGCTACCGTTGGAAGAACTGTCAAGGATCCCAAAGTCACTTATATCAATGGCAACACACAAAAGGGTGGCAGGTGCAACCAAAGAATTATGAACATTCACTAATGGTTAAAAGCCAGCCAACTTCTAGTAAAGACATTCCTGGTTTACACAGAAAAGTATTACAAATGCAACTTAAAATACCCATTTTCACCTGATGCTTACCTCTCGCAGTGGGATAATGAGGCTGCACAAGTTTTCCTCCTTGCTGGTAAAACAGATGTAATTTGTGGACACAAACATCTGCCCCAAAATGTGCATTTTGTTAAATGGGGTCCAGAGGGTGCAGTCTGTGTGGCCATCTAATTTCTCATCTTTGGGCAGCCGGAAAAGTGCACGGTACCTCTCACTCTTGGCTCTGGCGTCAAGATCGCTGGAAAGCAATAACAACAACTCACCTCACACAAGAGAAATGTTTCAATACCTTCTAAATGGTAAGGCCATGGAGGGTGCCCAGCCCATCCTTCCCCTCCTTGATCTTGCAGGGGCTTATCCCTACCTTTTTGGCTTTCTATTGGCACTAATGCCAACCAACCTATGACCCAAAAGCATACTAAAATTATTTTAATATAGCCAGGTCCCTTGTGTAGTCATTTCATAATCAATATCTGTAAATGTTCAAGAATCTTAGGGAAACTAGGCCTGGACAGGAAATTCATTCCTTTTCTAAAGAGATGATTACATATACACTATCCAGAGCCACTTGTGGGGGGAGGGAGCGCTTATCTTCTAAAGGAAGACCTAATGAGAATGCAAACGAGCCTCTGGTATCTGCTGGTATTACTGTCTGCCCTAAAAAGACAACAAAATGGTCTGAAATACAGAACAACCCTCCTCGTGGACAACTCGAGTTTCCAGCCTCAGCTGGGTCCTCTGCTGACTACACCCTTTCCCTTGACTTCCTTTTTCCTGTTCATCATATAGGCTGTTAAAACCTCTCCCTTCAATCTCTACCCGACGTTAGCCTTTCGATGGTCTACTTTCTGGCTTCACACAGCAGAGCTAAGCAGGAGCTCCCTCCCTCCATCTCCAAAATTACCTCCATCCTCGCTACTCCTACTTCCTTCCCCTGTTACAAAAGGAGAGGTCTCGGCACACAGAAGCATCCTTTTCTATGCCCTATAAGATGTCACATTTAAAGTTATTGGCCCGGCCGGGAGTGGCTCAGCGGTTGAGCGTCGACCTAGGATCTAGGCGATCAGGGTTCAATTCCCGGTCAGGGCACAAGCCCGGGTTGCGGGCTCGATCAATGACTCTCTCATCATTGATGTTTCTGTCTCTCTCTCTCTCTCTCCTTCTCCTTTCCTCTCTCTGAAATCAATAAAGATATATTTAAAAAATAAATGAATAAAAAAAAATAAAGTTATTGTTTTCTTATACTTTCATCTCTATGCTCCCTCCTGGCCCTGCACCTGCCTTCATCAACATATTCTTCCCATCCTATCCTGTTTTCAAATCTTCTGCATTCTAAAAAGATCAACGCCCCTCCTTTACCGCTGAATTTCTTTAACAAGCAGTCTACACTTGCCTAATTCCCTTTCCTTGTCTTTCACTTGCTATTTAATCCACTGCAGTAACCTCATTCACCCTCTACCATTCCACTGAAACATGTCTCAGATCACCAAAGACCTCCTCACTGAGGTCACTTCTGTCAGGTTCCAACTACCAGCCGTAGGCCAGCGATTTTCAACCCCATGTGTTACTGGTCCAATCTTCAACTAGATGTCCTGCCGGCAACTCTCACTGAACAGGATCACGTCCCCGGACATGCTCGTCCCTCTCATTCCCCATCTCAGTTTAGGGCAGTTCCATGCACTCAGTCACACTGTAGAGCGTCAGTGTCTCCCTTACTCTCTCCAGCTCTGCTCCCACATCCAGACTTCCAGGCTTCTCAGCAGCCTTTCCGCCCCGCTGCCCTGCCACCTTCCAGACGTGCAATGGACTCCTTCCCTCTGTGCTTTTCCCTCTGCTGGGGACAAGCCATCCTGCTCAATCTGCAGGGCCAGCTGCTACTACCCGAGACTCCAGCTCCTCGCAGCCCGCGCCGGAGGCCTTTCCTTCCCTCTGCCCCGTCGCCCCACGTGTGCGCCCACCTCATGCTGCTCAGGGGACCAGAACAGTGCCCGTCACGTTGTGCTGGAGCAGGCCCGTCTGCCTCACTTACTGCTCTGTGAGTGCCACAGTCTTTTTCACTTTTATAGCTCTACCCAGAAAAGCGTTCAGAACCCTTGAGGTGTTCAGAAAACGTTAAATTTCATGCTCGAATGGATGGGTTTCTTGTTTCCAAAGTCTGTAAGATTCAGTCTCTGGCACCTACCGTTTCAGAGCAGACACTTTTTTCGGAGATTTCTTTTTCAGTTTGGGCAGGGATCGATCTTGTTCGAATCCCTCATTGTCTAAGAGCTGCCTCATGGCTATGTTGGCGAGCTGCTCCATTAACTTGAAGGTCTCATTGATGTTGAGAAACACGGAGAAGAAATGCTCACTGGACCGTGTGCTCACTTTGATCACGTCGGGCAGAAGCAGCGTGGCGTTCTTCTCGAGCTGAGTGATGTCCACCCACCGGATCACCAGCTTAGCTGAGCACAGGGAGCAAGGCTTGGTCAACACCCGGCTCCTTAAATCCCTCTGAGACGCTGCAGTCTCACACCCCCAACTCCCGGGTGCACTGAACTCCTTTGCATCTGAGTGTCCACATCTATTACTGTTGTTAGTTATAAGAGACAAATTCAAACCACATAAATTCTGAGTTCATAATTATTATCAATTTAAGTCCATGCCTACTAAATTACACCTTTGGTGAATCTTTATTATTTAATAGCCAAATTTTTTTTACAAATATTGAACTCAAAATAATTCAATTGTTAAATAGTTAAAAGGCAATGTTGCCCAGCCAGGATGGCTCAGCGGCTGAGCGTCGACCTAGGATCCAGGCGATCGGGGTTCGATTCCCGGTCAGGGCACATGCCCGGGTTATGGGCTCGATCAATGACTCTCTCATCATTGATGCTTCTATCTCTCTCTCTCTCCCTCTCCTTTCCTCTCTCTGAAATCAATAAAGATATATTTAAAAAAAAAAAAGGCAATGTTGACTCAGTCATAACTATAGATTTATTTTTGTTATTTTGATGTGGTTTATGAGCTCAGGGAAACCTCAGTAGACCTTCCAAAGCTTCTCTCTGAAATCCTAGACAACTTACCTTCCCTTCCCATAAGAAAAGAATAAAAGCAAAGGTGGTTAATACTGAGGTACATCCAACCCTGACGGGGGACCTTCCCCTTCCAGTAGCTGCAAGAGTAATAGTTGACGAGTTTCTCTTCCTCAGGCATCCCAAACAGCCTATGGAATTTCACGATGGCCTCTTTGAACTTCTCAGTGTCATCGTCTTCCTTCACATCATTGATTTTGTTGTACTCGGCAATAATGCCCTAAATAGGGATGAAACAAAAGCACAGAGCTGGTGTTACTGGGACTGGAGCTGCTGTTTTCTGTATGCTGTACATACTGGAAAGGAAAAAAAGAAACCCAACCATTTCTAAGGCCAGAATTTTTTTTAAAAAGTTGATGAATTCTTTTCAACCGCAACCCCCCAAATTCTAAGCCACCTAACAAGTAGCATTTGTGTACAAAGAGATTTTCAAGATAACAATACAGATTTTATCATCTGTTTATTTGTGCTAAACATTTTTCTTAATTTCTTCTTTTAAAGTTTTTATTGTATTTTATTTATTTTATTTTTTATTTTTGGTGCTATTCTAGGTTTATTTAGAATAAAGCCTATAATTTTATATTGTGTATGAGGAAATGTAATAGTTTTGATAGTTCCACTGATTTTCCTAGTTTATCATGATAGTTATCCCAAAGGTCAATTACTGCCTTTTTCTAAAATCAACAAAACTTCATCATGAATGGACAAGAGAGGAAAGACAGACCAGAAGGCATACCATTAACTGACACTTGGCCACAAACTTACTGTCTCAGGGCCATGAATAATATCAAGGAACCTAGAAAAAGGAACAAGCAACCACTTAAACAGAAAAGGGGTGAATGTGAGAAAAAATTATATTAGACAATTTTTGGTTAGTTGCACAGAAAGTGAAATATTTGCACAGCAAGTGGCTGGCTTAATCTGTCTAATCATCTTAGTAGCTTGAGAGGCTGTTTCATTGTTATCCAATTCCTCCATAATTCCCTGTAAACTGGCTTCTACATCTATTTCTTGATAAAAAATGCTCCCTTGAGCCTAGTCGGCGTGGCTCAGTGGCTGAGTGTCGACCCATAAATCAGGAGGTCACTGTTCAATTCCCGGTCAGGGCACATGCCCGGGTTGTGGGCTCGATCTCCAGGTGGGGACGTGCAGGAGGTGGCCAATCAGTGACTCTCTCATCATTGATGTTTTTCTCTCTCTCTCTCCCCCACCTTCCTCTCTCTGAAATCAATAAAAACATGTCTTAAAAATATGCTCCCTTGAATTCCACCTTGGACTGTAATCCCTTTCACCTCCTCTTCATCTTCTCTGATCCCAAAGTAGCACTGAATAGCAAGAGCTTTCAAGCACAAAGGTTTGGGGTTCAAATCGCAACAATATCACCACATAGCTGTGTGAGGGTCGGCAACCTCTTGGATTCTCCTTGATGTGACTGAACCCTCCATATTCCACGAAGAGAAAATTGAAACTGCCTCATACCTAGAATTTCTGCCTTTGGGCTCTTCTGCTTCCAGTACATCCTGGATGCTCCCTGCAAATTTACCTTCCTAACATTTGTTTTGACTACAAATTCTTGTTATGAAAATCCTGAGTGGTTCCCTACTGCTATCAGTCTAAAATGCAAAATTTCAGACCATTCACATTTTGGATCCACTGTGAGGCCCTTACCTAAACTCAGACTAAGAAGACTAGGGAAAGGAGCGATGTATAACAAGCCAAATGATACCCATATGTTTTGAGTGGAAAACATTAAGTTCAGATTTTGCTATCCAAAGATGTACTGAATACTACATTCTCTAACGCTCATTTAAATTTTAAAAAGAAAATGTTTTTGCCCTGCCCAAGTAGCTCAGTTGGTTGAGTGCTGTCCCATGCACTGAAAGGTTGCTGGTTCACTTCCCACTTAGGGCACTGGGTTGTGGGTTTGAGCCCTTCAGGCAGCATAGGGAAGGTGACTGATCCATGTCTCTCTCTCTCTCCCCCTTCCTGTCTCTAAGCATGTCCTCAAGTGAGGATTAACAAAATAATAATAATAATAAAATATATAGTATAAAAAAAAGAAGTATTTTTAAATATGAGATTTATGAGGATGTAGCACTGAGAAACATCACTCTGAAATGTTCTGGGGCCTAATACACTCATACAAACAGACCAGGCCTTACCTACTAGTTTCACCTAGTGAGGGTAATAGTCCATATAAAGCTACATTCCCAAATTTCCCACCTTTAAGAAAAGAGAGGGTCTCAAATGCAGAACCTCTTCTTAGTTTGCTGTAGTTTGTCAGCCAGGTAGACCAGATGATGAAACAAAGGGATGGAACATCTCCTTCATAAATGTTCTACAGGTTCTACATCATATGAAATAGGTCACCTGGTTCTAGGCAACAGCCCCATATAACTTTGGAAAACTACTACAATCCAAATGAACAAGGGACACTGACAGGTAATTCACAAAAAGAAGAAAATGAACTTAGCAAACACGAAAAAGTGTTCAACCTCATAATCAATCAAAGACAGAAAATTAAAACAGTAAGACACCAACTTTGACCTGTTCAATTTGAAAAACCATTTAAACAACTATTATAGAAAGTAAGCATTGGTGTAATTGCATAGGGATTCCAATATACTGACAATATCTACTAAGGTTCATTCAAAATGTTAAGCAGCTTACTCCATTAACCAACTTTTTGTAATCTATCCCAAAGGAAAGAAAGCAAAAACTATAGGAAACGTTACATGAACGAAAGTGTTCAGGGTATTATTGTTTGTGCCTGCCCCCCACTACTCTAGAAGCTAAGAAGACACCTAGAGAGAGGGAGATTGTAAGGTCCATTATGGGATAATATAGTTATTAAAATAACTAAAATGCATATAATAATATAATATATATGTGACTTACAGTACCAGTTAAAGAAAAGACATGATACAAAATTAAACGTATAGTATGACTACTATTATGATAAAATGCATGTTAGAAATATAGAAAGAAATACACAAAATGTTTGAATTATGTTTGGCCCTACAGTTAATTACAACATTCAGAATTTATAAAAGTTAATTAAATCTCTAAACAAATTTGTTGTTCTCTTAATTACTGGACAATCTGTGAAAGTTTAAATCATTCATTTACACATGAATGGCATTCTTTCACACATAGCTGCATTAATAGCAATTCCTTCCTCATAATTGGTTTCAGGGGAATTAAATCTGACATTTTTGGTGTAATGAAAATGGTGAAAAGAATGGCTATTTGACATAATTATTTTGTTTTGTTTTGTTTTTGTTTCTCTTGGTTACCATCACTTCTAAGCTTCAGTGTCTCCCTACAGCTCTCTATCTGTACCTGTTGCCCAAGGACAATAACACGAAAAGGTAACTGAGAACCTCAGTGGTCCCAGCAGAGAGAAGATGCTTCCTGTCTCTGTGTTTCCCACACCAAGGGGCTGCTCCTTCCGCCCAGCCCCCCTGCATGACCAAATTAGGGATCCTTAGACTTTCTATTTCCATTTCTTCCCAGAAATTCAGATACATGACTTAGAAACAAAATGAAGATGTTCTAAAATCTAATTAGTTTTATCAATAAAACAACTCTCAAATATTCCAGAATAATTTTTTTTTTTGGTCTGGAGTCTGCCGTCTGCTCCTAGCTTCACACTGACCATTTGCAATGTCTCCCCCTCGCTCATTTTTATTCTCTTCACTATCCTTCCAATCTCTTTAATAAGGATGGAGAAGGAACTTGAATCACCAATCCTGCACCAGTGGTTAAATGCTCGTCTTGAGGGGTGGCGGTGGGAGTAAGGAAGAGGCTGATATTATTACATGTGCTTTTGTTCTGCTCAGTCGTCACTAATTTTTTTTTGTAATCCTCACCTGATGATATTTTTTCCCTTGGTTTTCAGAGAGTGTGGAAGGGAGAGAGAGAGAACATCGATGTGACAGAGACACACCGATTGGTTGCCTCCCGCACGGGCCCCGTCCAGGGCTGGGGATCGAGCCTGCAACCGAGGTACGTGCCCTTGGTTGGAATCAAACCTGGGACCCTTCAGTCCGTAGGCCGACGCTCTAACCACTGAGCCAAACCGGTTAGAGCTGCACTGATTTTTTGTGTGGTCCAGTTCAAATTCAGCTCTCTCCTTCAAAAACATCAGACTCTAAAGACAATGAGATTTCATTTGTCTGTTTTTCCTTCTTTTTCTGAGTATAAAATTACTACATGTTCATGTAAAGTAGGAGAGATAAAATAAAAATAGACCATTCTTTAGAAATTTAATGAGACGCACACTGTCAGATCACTTCCTAGAATTTCTCCTTAGCCTGGGTATAAAAAAAGCTTTTTCACTGTGATTAAAACTCCAGGTGTTGCAAAAGAAAAAACTGCTAATTTTGACTAAATAAAATTTAAAGTTTGCATGGCAAAAACTTTCATGAGCAAAGTCAAAAGACAAATGACAAACAGAGAAAATATGTAAAACATACATCATCAATAAAAGGCTAATAACCTTTATATAAAAAAGGACTTTTAAAAATTAAAGAAAAATAAAACCAAAGGTCCCATAGAAAAATAGGTAAAAAGACAGGAGCAGACAGTCTACAAACTGATATAAAAATGGCCCTTAAACATATGAAGATATTCAATTTCACTCATAAATGAGACAAGTACAAATTAAAACAACACCAAAATATTTCTTCCTGATCAGATTGGCAAACACTCAACAGCTTGAGAATCCACCTTGTTGGTGGAGCTGCGGGGAAACAACTTCCCATTCTTACCAGTGGGAATGAAAAGTGGCACCACCCTGGTGAGGGGGATTTGGCAACATTCGGCAAAGTGACACATACATTTACCATGTGATCTGGCAGTGCCACCTCTACCAGTGTATCTTAAAGATACATCCCCAACAATATGAAACTACATATATGTACATATGTATGTAGCATTACTTATAGTTCCAAAATATTAGAAAAAGCTTAAATGTCCAAGCACAGGAGAGTGGCAGAATTGTCCATGGTGCATACACACATAACATGCAGCTTAAAAAAATAAAGAACTAAATGCAATATGGGATCTTGGGTTGGGCTGTAAAATAAAAAAGGATATGAAGTGGGAAAACTGGTAAAAGTAAAATAAAATCTGTAGTTTAGTTAACATCATGTTGATGTTAATTTCTCTGTATTGGTAGATGTATGGTGATTATACACGATGTTAACATCGGGGAAGCTGAGCATAGGGTCTATGGGAATTCTCTGCTCTATCTTTGCAGCTGTTCTGTAAATGTAAAAATAATTTCAAAATAAAAAACAGAACTATTAGCACCAACAACAACACGTGGACAATCTCTATGGAGTGTTACCAGGAGTTAAGTGGAAAAAGCAAATGCAAAGGAGCATATCCATGGAGCCTCATGTGTGAGAATTAAAGAGAAATACAAAAAATACACATACCTGCCTATTTTTACAACTTTTCTGTAAGTTTGACATGATTTCTAATTAAAAAGTTTAACAATAACAAAACAAAACATCCCCTACCTGTATTTTTCCTCTCACAAACGTGGTGATATCGTTCTCATTTTCAAAGATGGACAGTGTCTGCAGCAGATTCTGCTCAAGCCATTCCCAGTGCTCGGTGATTTCCTTTCTGGAACCACCTGTATGAATGTAAAAATGATTATAATAAATGTCAGAATTTCAAAGATACCTAAAAAAACAGGCTCATGTCTTCCATATTCAATGCCACTGAAGGAGACTCTCGTGCCAACAGCCCTGCCTTTAAATGCTTTCTCTCCTCCAGAGACACACAGGAGGAGATGGAAACCCACGAGCAAGGACCGTAAGTCTTCACTTAACGTTGGCAATAGGTTCTGCGACTTTAGGTGACACAATGTACAATGAAACAAGTTTTATCATAGGCTAATTGTATTAACAATTAAGTTCCTAGAGCATCTCATCGGTGTTATAACGATGTTACTTGAGGACCTGCTGCAGTATCGTGTCCCAGCTAAGTCTGGGGAGGTGAGTGCAGAAACGTTTAGGACACTTTCAGACTGGAAGGCAGAAGCATGTCCCCCATTTACTTTTCTGGATCGGGAGTTTTATCATTGCCCTTCGCTGTTCTCCCTCCTAGGACCTGCACCTCACAGGGTAACGGAGATCTTGCGAGGAAGCCAGGTTACCGCAGTTAAGTCGTCGCCGTAGGAGGGCTTTGGGTATGCCCCTGGAGAGCTGATGTAACCACCTCCTACAACGGGCAAAAAATGACCCTCACTCACTTCAGTTACAAACGAAACGTGAAAAGGGACTATCGCCGGGAGATAGCCGCCTGGCTCTCACAGCCCCGCGGCCTTGAAATGTAATGGGGTGAGGTCATCCTCACAGCTGCCCACCAAGTCACTACACTTGTGCCAGTGGTAAGAAGCAAAAGTCAACTTGCCGGCAGCCCCCAGACTGAAACAACCCTAGTCTTGTAGCATTTGTCACCAGCCCTGCTCTCTGCTCACAACCGCCGGCACACTGAGGGTGCCCTCGGAGGAGGCTGGTCAGGCACTGGGATACATTCCCTTCCCTTCTGGCTTGCTCTGGAATTAGCAATGATCTCGCAGAAAGGGTGTCTTATACATCATCTGCCTACCATAGATACAAACTGTACAGATACCATGTACATCATGGAAAGAAACCGCGTGCACCACTAATTACAGAATTAAAGAATGATTCTGTGAGTCCACTGGCTCACCCTTCAGGCCACTCCTTAGATTTCCCAGTTATCTTTTCATTGATTTCTTTAAAATGTCTCCTCTCTGTTCTCTGTTACCAGTAATTCGATATATCTCAGAATCTCACTCTGATTCCTGACAGAGAAAGGTGGGGGACACGACTGTGTCTAGGATACTCTGAACTGTGGGAGCAGAACGGGCGTCTTAGAGAAGAGCAGGTCTGCCTGAGGGGCTGCGGGCCCACCGTGTGGGGAGAGGCAAAGCCAAACCAAGCCAAGTTCACTTACTCTAAGCCCGCGGGCCAAATGCCACCACGGAATGCTTGCGTGGAGGATGAGAGGCGTATTTCTGAGGGGAGAGGCGGCCGGACGAAAACACTAAAGGACAGGCCGTCTGCAGTTCTTCCCGGCCATTTTCCATGGCTCACTCATTCGGGGGGACAGCCACCCACATGTAAAAGCAATCGGTGACTCTCTACACCATGATGTCAGGGCGAGCGCTAGAGCTAAGGATACCTGGTCCCCCCTCCCTTTCTGCCGCCAGTCAGTGGGATGACTTGAAACATTTTGCTTAACCTCTGTCTGTCTCAAATGTTTTACATGTAGCCCTGGCTGGTGTGGCTCAGTGGTTAGAGCGTCGCCCTTCACACTGAGGGTCTCGGGTTCGATTCCTGGTCAAGGGCATGTACCTGGGTTGCAGGTTTGATCCCTGCCCTGGTTGGGGTGCGTTTGGGAAGCAACCAATCAATGTGACACATCGATGTTTCTCTCTCTCTCTCCCTTCCACTCTCTCTAAAAATCAATGGGAAAAATACCCTCCAGTGAGGATTAACAAAAAAACAACAAAATTCTTTCCATGTAAAATAGAGACAAATAAAAAACAAACCCTTACTCATCTCAGAACAGTGTGGTAAAAATGACAAGGAATAATGTCTACAGATACATTCTGGAAAGTAGAAAACACTTGTCAGACCTGAAGAACAATGCCACTTGGAATATTTAAGGAATGAGTCATTTTGGAGTTTGCCAGAGAGCTTTGAAACATTTTAGGCTTAAAAATTTTAAATAGCCATCGGAAAAATGTTGTTTATAGACAAGGAAGAATGCGATATGCTTTTAAACTTTTTTGATGATTATTTAAAAAATTTATAACATAGTGCACCCTTCCTTGTCTGTAAACTCACTACCGTCACGAGCTGTGAACGGCTGGTCCAGCCTCCAAATGAAAAGCACTCAAAGCTACTTAAATAAAGGGAACCAAATGAAGAACTCATCTATGTATGGTCTTATCCAAAACAACCTTAGCCACAAGAATGATAATTTTTAAACTTAAATACCAAATAAAGGCAAGAGTAATACCCAATACACTGCGTCTACTGTCCCTGTATTCTTTACAAAGCCACCATGTACTTTCCATATCCAGAAAAATGACAAACTTGTATTTGGAGAGGGCAAGGGATCAAACCCAAAAGTAATGTGGTGATTTAAAACATTTTTATAAACAAAAGGGAGATGTATTTTAAATATTTAAATTAAATTTATTTAGATGTAATTAAAGCTATAATTATCAACAGGTTAAAGATAATGATCCTGATAATGTTATTTATTACTTATTTGTACTTATCAAGACCAGGCAGCTGCTTTTAATTTTATAAACATTATTGATATGGAGCCTGGTCATCAGGATGACAATATTACATAATCGCTCAAACCACAGGCTTTGTCAAAAAAGTACACCTAGTTTCACATCCCCACCACGCCACATGCTAGCTTTGTGATGATGGGTTAGTTACTTAACCTCTCTCTGTTTCCAATTCCTCATCTGTAACAGAAAGTAGCAACACCTACCACATTCGTTTGAGCTGGGGATTCAAGAAAATACAACAGGTAAACAGATACTTTTGTTAATATCTTCGTTAGCAACAGAACACAAAGCTCTCACCTTGAAATGAGATGCAGAAGGTATCTCTAACATCTAAGGACAGGACACTGAGAAATCAGCTGTTTAACACACATTCAGCAGGAATCTCCCTGGCCCCAGCACCATTGTGCTTCAATGGCAAGTGTACATATTAGGGAGGAAGGCATGCCCAGAACAACTCTTTGTGTAACTATTATAAGCTTCTTACGTAACTCTGCTTATAATCTCTTACAGGTCATAATAATATACTTATAGCTTTATAGCCACTTTGAGAAAAGAGAGGCCCAGGTAACTCATTTAACCTTGGCAGTAAGGATCAGTGGGTGATGTCCTTATTTTACTTAAGTGCCCACGTCTGCCCCTACCCCGAAGGACAGAATGTAATGGCTCTCTTTCTGCTGGGCAATGGGACTAGAAACACTACACGCCTTACATATATGCATATGTTTTGACTCAGCATACCTACTTCTATAAATGTATCCTACGGAGATAACTAAGGGAATGGGAAAGATTTTGTTCAGAGGATGTTCACTAAGATTGTTCAAAATGCAGTTAACATTGGGGGAAACCCCTACATTTCCAACATTAGCATATCATTTAGTTAAATTATGTTATATATACAATAAAATATTACCTACCTATTAAAATTGACATTATAGAAATATATATTATTGACATGGAAAGTCTATACACATATGTAGATACATGTGTATCCATATATATGTATAGAGGTGGGGTAAAAGTAGGTTTACAGTTTTTTTGTATTGAAAAATAATACAATAATTAATAAATAAGAATATAAGAATATAAGAATAAAGTGTCTCATGTACTCATAACTGTAAACCTACTCTTGCCCCACCCAGTATGTAGACACATTTTATATAATATAAAGTCTGAAATGTGATTTGTGACGTGGCATTATTGTTTAATTTTTTATTCTTTTTGTTTATCTATATTTTCTAATTTTCTGTACTTTTTAAATTTTAAGCTGCTCTTTAAAGGATCCAAGACTAGTTCTTGAGGCCCACAGACCCAGGAAGGATTATCAAACACTGACCAACTTTCACATTCTGTGGAAGGCAACTAAATTACCCGGCATTTTCTCTAGCTACTGTAGAGGAACAGCAGAAGCAGAACTTATTCCAATCTTAATTAAACTCTGGGCCTGGCCAGCTGCTGAGTAAAAGAATGTTTAATCCTAAAACCAGTATAGTGCTGCTTAAAAAGGACAGGCTAAGAGTGCGGGAGACCTGAGAACTTGGTCTCAGCTCTGCACTGCCTGGCTATGACTAGCAATATGAACTTGGGCAATTCACTTCGAGTCTGTATCCTACTAAATTATGAGTGTTGAACAAGGTGGTGGCTAACGTCTTACAATTCTGGGCCGTCCAGGCCCAGAGGTGGCTCTGGGATGGTAAAGAAGAGGAAAATTAAATCAATGGGCAGCCCATTCAAGGCACTGTTCAGGGCTGTTATCAGTGAGGTGTCCATCAAACAAACACCCTCTGTCCCATTTCCTTATCAGGCCTGCCAGGCGGTCAGATGTATCCAGAGGAAACTGTCAACAGCTCCTTCTGTCTTTCTGTTTATAACTCTCTTCCCCAGCTGTCCCAGAGCACCTCTTTAGACAGTGTCCTTGGAATTACCTGCATTTCCACGTGTCTACATTTTCACTGAGGCTGTATGACACTTCTTACTGTTAGAACCTCCTGGTCCTTCTAATGAGGACAGCCAAATGGGTTGCCTTTTACTTAAGTCCACTGAAGGCCAAGGAAGGCAAGGACTGGGCTTTTTCCTGCCTCTGAGGCATCAAGTCCAAAACACCAGCTGTTGGGGGAAGACCTGCAGCTGTTTCATTCCCTGGTGAATCTAGAGCCTCAGGTGCAAAACCATCAGTCAGCTGACTTGGGGGAGAGGCAGAATTGTGAGATTATAACAAGCTCAACAGAGCGGGCTGGACAAATTCCTACCGTACAGCCTCCTTCACGATTTTTATGGTGGAAAGTATCATTTATTGCACAAACCACTGAGCAAAACGCAATCCAGTAGGAGAGAGCTGATGGCCCAATGGCCTATGCATCACACAAGAAGGTTTTGGGTTCCCTTCCCCAATTCTAGGTCTCAATGCCAAGGAAATGTAAAAAAAATCAATTTCTTCAAACTAATCTGAATTTAGACTTAAGAGATAATAAAAACAAGCATAGGAAAATAATGTTTCACCAAATAACTGCCCCCCCACCCCTTTCTATAATTGCCAAGGGCCAGGTAATTACTCTATTGGCAGTAAGTTTGACTAGGTCCAAAAGACTCCTCTTCCTGCCGGGTGCCACGTGGCTCAGGTCTAAGGAAAACCACATGACTGGGATTTACCACTAAGACTACTGCTCTTCCATAGAAAGGGGTTTAGGTGAAGACATTGATTCTAGGTGCTCCCTTAAACTCAATTCACACCTATCGAAGATTCACAAGATGTGGCACCGAACAAGGTTTTGGAATCCTCTGTATTCTACAGGGCAGTGAATTAGACTCACCCACTTCTTTGCCGAAGCTTCTCTTACAACAATGATTCATGAAATTCAAGAAAATAAAGCTCCCAATAGACTGATGTACTGACATTCAAGTCACAAACCGAAAGGTCAGCATATCAAACAAATCTTTAAGGTATATATAGCTTCTGCTCTTAAAATCTTCTCATGAAAGGGAGCCAGCAATCTGGGCTTAAACAGAAATCGATCAGAAAGAGCAACTAATGGTTGAATGGGACTCTCACAATGGTTGTCACTTCCCCGGAGTATCCACAGGGAATTCTGAAGCTGTGTCTATGGGCCATCAATAGATACAGAAGCTAAACCTGTTCTGGGTTTATTATAATGAGATCATGCAGTTGTGACAGGCAGTACTTACTGGGAAAATGAAAGCACATCTCTTTGTGGCATAAATTATGCCATCAGCATTTACTGCCTAGTGCTCCTTAGCCACAGCTCAGCAAACCATTCAGGAATAACCCAGCTTTGTGACTCTGGGCTCTTCCCCACATGGGCATTCATAGGATCAGCTTCGTAGAATGGCAAGGACCCAGAAACAGACCGAGGAGTGGCAATGTCAGGTGAAGGGGGAAAAAGGTTAGGGCTGAGAGGACAGGAAAAGAGGAGTCACAGAGGCACAAACTAGCTGCTCAGGTCACAGTCCATGTCCATTGATCTGGGAAGGCCAGGAGCTGAGAATGCCCAGGAGAGATCAGAGGAGCTCCAGGCTCCAGAGGATCTCAAAGCCTCTGGGCACAAGTGGTAGAAAGAAAGTGAAAATGTATCAGTGTCCTTTCCACACCCTCCACGAGTTAAGTGGTTTCCTGGCTCTGCCTGGTTTCTAATTTCCTTTCTTTTTACTTCTTCCTTGTTGGCTACAATGTCTATTTTAATACTATTCTAGATGGTTTGCCAACTAAATGTGATACTTTCCCAACCAACTAGTACAGGACACTTCCCCTTCTACAGTAGCTATTGAATGTTTCACTTTGTACTGAATGAACCACACAGAGGGCTGGAATGCCACCTTGCTCTGCCTGGGCTACAGGGCTAAGTCTGTCTTCTTCTGGGTCCCAGCTTCCCTCTTCCCATATCCTTTATTCCCTTCCCCTCGCTCCCATCCCCACCCTTCACTCCTAGGTGGTTTTCTCCATGCCCTGAATCCTGATAACATCCCTTCATTCACCAGAATGCACACTGACTGACATATCCCATTGTTTCTCATGGGGCTGTCCACATCTTAAACAGAATAGCTTTAAAGGGATGCAACTAATAATTTGGGTACTGCGAAATCCTTAAGGGAGCATTACTAGGGCACTGGATCCCTCCCACAGCCTGAAATCACACCCAGATAACTCCCCTACCTATGGAGAAGGCCTGCCAAGGTTCCTGGATTTAGTTGGAAGGCCCACAATCAAATGGCACTAAATGCTACTTGTTCCCACGGGGCTGTAATTGAATATTTACTCTTGTTCTCAAGAACAGAGACTGGATCTAATTATCTTTATATCTTTACATCCCAGCATAGCACTTCCTATCAAGCAGAGATCAATTTAAAAACTGAATAAAGTCAACTACAGCAGCTGCCAATGGACAAAGCGGGAATGATTTGAGCTACAAAATAAAGCAGTATTAGTGTCCCCCACAGTATAGAATAAATATTCATGATTCCACAGTGATTAAAAACAACTGAATAAATGAATGCTCCTCGCCCTTTAACTGTGGGCTGTGCATAGTGACTTCCTCCAAAGAGGACAGTATGGAAAGGGAAGAAAAAAATAACTTGACAGTGGAGAAACCTAAAAAACACACTACTTCAGCCAGGTAATCAAGAACGTGATCAGTCAGAAATCCAGTCCATCGTAGGCACCCTTGCTTGTCATGATGTGATGAAAATAACACTTTATCTCTGTGATCGTCCTCAGGAAAATCCATCCCCCTAGCTTAATTGTGGGAAAAACATCAAATTCCAATAAAACAACATTCTACAATATACCTGACCAGTAATTTTCAAAACTGGCAGGATCATCAAAAACAAGGAAAATCTGAAAAACTTCCACAAACAAGAGGAGCCTAAAGAGATGTGGCAACTAAATATAAAACGGTATACTGGACAGGCTCCTGGAACAGAAAAAGACATGAGGTCAAAGCTAAGGAAATCTAAATAAACTGTGCACTTTATTTAGAAAGTATGTATTGATATCAGTTCATGGATTGGAACAAATGTTCCATGCTCAGATGTTAATAATAGGGGAAACTATGTATGTGGAGAGTATATAGAAGTTCTCCAAACTATCTGTTTGACTTTTTTTGTAAATCTAAAACTGTTCTAAAAAAAAAAAAAAAATCTACTAATAATTTTAAAAAATTAAGTGAAGGTCAAAAAAAAGTGTTCCGTGCCCTTGCTTTTCCTATGGTTATTTGAAAAGCCGCATGCAAACAAATAACGAAAACAATCTTGGCCACTTTGGATTAGATGTTCTTGGGAGCGATCCAATAACAGCATAATTATTTATCGCCATTTTAGGCACAGCACATTACTGCAGATTATCATCAGGAGAAAGAAACAATCCCTGCTCAGTAGGAAGTCCTGTGCTACGATATATAAGCATTACTCGGTCCTCTCAAATAGTCTACCTGTTCCTCTTCACTTCTCAGCTTCCTCTGAAGTTAGGTTGGGGCCATGTGACTGGTTCTAGCCAATGGAGTGACAAAGCAGTGACACTTCTGGGCCAAGGACGTTAAATGCAGGTGCACCTCCACCTCCCACTTGCCTCTTGTAAGTTGACCTTGGAGGCTTTGTGCCCTGGAGGGTGTCACGACAGATGGAGGAAGCCACAGGATCCAAACCAGACATCACCAGAGTGAGAGAGAAACCATTCTGGTGTTAAGCCATTGAGATGTGGGGGCTCATCTGTTGAAATGGCTACGGTTACCCGCCCTAAAATACCAAGTGATCGCATTCCACAAATGAAAGTCCCTTCCCTTCTGACAGAACGTTGGTAGTCGTAACGTTTCTCCGTATTTCCAAATACTGCTACTTACCACAGGCGATGGTCCAATAGACCAAAGAGTCTGGGGTCTGGTACAGGATCCGGTAGGGAGCCACCCGGGCACTGGAGTCCAACACGACATCAAGGGTACCCACCAGGAGGCCTGAAGGCAGGAAAGAGGGAGAAATGCGTAAGGGTGTCCTCAGCGTGTTCCCATTCCAGGGGCAGTGTGGGAATTTTAATTTGACTTTTACTTAGATGCATGTTTACTAAGGAGGCCTTTGGAATGGAACTGACGGTGCTTGAGGCTGGGAAGGGAAGACTGAAGGCCCCAGTCTCCCTGGCTTGGCCACTGTGGAAAATAAACAGCCCAGTGGAAAGCACCAAGCTCAGTGCCTGCCCCCTGGCAGGCTTCTCATAAAGTTCTGCTGAATCTGAACCACAAGTTTTTCTGAAATTGTCACCACCAGTATCTCTTGATATGTCCTCTTGCGGGTTGGCTCTGACCATAGAATTAACGCCTTGATATGCACAATACCATTGCAATTCACTTCCTTCTGGTTGGTAATCTGGGGTCATGGAAAGAGCCTTGGATGAGTCAACTAGAGTTCAGGGCTCAGTTCTAGCTCTGATTCCATCACAACCAGTTCTGTGGTGTGAACAGGCCATTTAGCTTCTCATTGCTTTGACTGCCTCAGTAGTAAAGTGACCATAATAGCACTTGCCTTCCTGAACCAGGGTTATTATAATCAAGAAGCCTGAAGGAGGTTAACATGGGGAAGTCCTATACAGTTGTCCTTGGTCTTTGTCCAAGGACAGGAATCCATTTAGGTTTACTCCAAACCACAGTGACCTGAACACACCAGGACAAACAAACTTTGGTTGAAGTGGAAGTGAATCTTTGGTTTACTCTGGGCTCTATGAAGTACATTAAAAATAAAATCCTTAGAGCCTGCCCCGGTTTCCAAGAGATAGACTTCCACATAATGCCATACACATGTGCATTTCTGTTTTCTCTACTGTAACTCGTATTTGCTGCAAAGACCTCTAATTACTTTCCAATTATCTGTAGGTGGAAAAGTATATTAATAGGAAAAGCAGATGAGTGCCAGCTACACTGGACTCTCTTCTATGTCAGTTAGAAATAAAAATACATCACCCATGATAACTGAATATTTATAATCTTTCCCTCTTCTTCAATCAAAAGGAGAAATAAAATGCCCCCAATACTGGAAGTGTCACGTATATTGGTTCTAAGAGGCACAAACTTCAGTCTAGGGTCAAGGAGTTGCAGTAGAGGATTAGCTTACATGGTTCAATGAGCCTCTGATAAGAGTGTCCTGGGAGATAGATTGTCCAAGGGCATGTGTAGCTCTCTGGACAAAGCACTGACAGAAGCAGACTGAGTTCTGGGATTCTCCACTCCTGACTCACCACCTCCCAACTCGCAGACACAGCCTCCCCAAGCGTCAGTTTCTCCAGCCTTAATGTCTCACTAAACTTCTTTACTCTGCAACATCAAGGATGGAAGACTTCTGAAAATGTCTCATCAACCCACACATCTTGATCACCACAAATGTCTCCAATTAAAATCCATCTCCAGGGACTCTGGCCAAGATGATGGTGTAGGTAAGTGTGGTACTCGCACCCGCCCACAACCACAACTAAACTACACAACAAACATCACTGACAGTCACCTGATATGTAGTGGAACAGAAGTCCTATAACTTAAGGATATAATAAAGAAGCCACATCAAGACTAGTAAGAAGGGTGGAAACCCCGGAAGGGGCTGGCCCCACACCCACGTGTGGTGGATAAAAATTGGGAGGAATATATGAACTACAGAGGTCCCCCTTGAGGAACAAGGAGTCCCAGCTCCACACCATGGCCCCAGCCCAGGGTTCCAGTGCTGCAAAGAGAAGTCCCCATAACTCCTGACTGTGAACATCAGTGGGGGTTGTGGCTGAGTGAGACTCAGGGCTGCTGGGGTCCCAGGTGTTCCTCTCAAAGGGCCCGTGCATGGACTTACTTGAAACCACTACCTCTGAGCTCCAGCAGGGGTGTGGAGGGGGGCAGCAGGAACATAAGGGGAAGAACTGAGTTGTCTGGCATTAGACTGAGGGCTGGAGGGGCAGCTTTCTTTCCAGACAGAAGTGTTGGCAGAGGCCATTGTTCCTTTGCTGAGCCCTCCCCTCGCAGGTGGATGTCATACCTGAGTCTCCATCAACCTGCCTTACCCTCTGGTTAGCCACCATCACCCTAGTCTGAGGTGCTACCCCACCCAACTTTTGGGCCCACCCAAGCTGTTCCCAGTGGCTTTTCCATACAAAGAATCTGCCTTGGCTCATGCTGTGGACTTTCCTAAAATCTCTCAAACAAGCAGCATCTGGCCTAGGTATGGCCCTTACCTTTTGCTAAAAGGCCCCAGGCCTGGCACTAGTGGCAGCTGGCCTTGGTTCGCAGCTTGGTATCTCCTGGCCACCTCTAAGCTTAACGCAAGTAGCAGTCATCTGTCAATCACTTTGTGGCTTATGCTGGGTGGCTCCAGGCAGAACACAGGTGGCAGCTGACCTTAGCCTGCACCTCCCAGGAGACACCAGAGCCAGCACACCCAGTGGACAGCTTCAGACCATGTCGAAACACCATCCAACCTCCCCCACAAGTGACACACTTAAGGGGCAGACTCAGGGAGCATCAGAGCCCCACAGAAGCAGGTCCTGCTCTGTGGGGTCAGCCCCTGCACTGCAGATCCTCCATGGTGGTGGTTGTGGCCAGTCCTCACATCAGCTTGTGGGTAAATACCTCTCATTGACTGCCATCAGCAATCAAGGCTCAACTACAACAGAAGGGTGTACACAGCCCACAGGGTGTGGGGGTCACACCCGGACTGCCCAGCTCACGTGACCAGAGAGGCTGCACCATTGGGCTTTATAGGACGCCTACAATATAAAACCACTCTACCAAGACTGGGAAACATAGCAGCTCTACCTAATACACGGAAACAAACACAGGAAGGCAGCCAAAATGAGGAGACAAAGAAACATGTCCCAAATGAAAGAAGGGAACAAAATTCCAGAAAAGGAACTAACGAAATGGAGATAAGCAATCTATCAGAGGCAGAGTTTAAAACACTGGTTATAAGGATGCTCAATGAACTTAGGGGAAGAGTAGATGAACTTAGTGGGAACTTCAACAAAGAGATAGGAAACATAAAAACATAAAAAGAACCAATCAGAAATGAAGAATATAATAACTGACGTGACGAATACATTACAGGGTATCAACAGTAGTGTAGATGAAGTAGAGAGTCAAATCAGCAATCTGGAAGACAAAGAAGCAGGAAACATCCAATCAGAACAGAAAAAAAAAAAAGAATCCAGAAAAAATAATCCAAAAAATAAGGACAGTTTAAGGAGCCTCTGGGACAACCTCAAGCTTACCAAAATTCACATCATGGGGTTGCAGAAAATAGAAGAGAGAGAGCAAGAAACTGAAAACCTGTTTGAAAAAATAATGCTGGAAAACTTCCCTCACCTGGTGAAGGAAACAGATATACAAGTCCAGGAAGCGCAAAGAGTCCCAAACAAGATAAATCCAAAGAGGCCCACACCAAGATACATCATAATTAAAAATGACAAAGTTTAAAGACAAAGGACTGGGTTCTGTTTTTTATCTTAAAAACAGCAAGAGAAAAGCAATTAGTTACCTACAAGGGAGCTCCCATAAGACTGTCAGATGATTTTTCAACAGGAACTTTGCAGGACAGAAGGGACTAGCATGAAATATTCAAAGTGATGAAAAGCAAGGATCTACAACCAAGATTACTCTACCCAGCAAAGCTACCATTTAGATTCCAAGGACACATAAAGAGCTTCCCAGACAAGAAAAAGCTAAAGGAGTTCATCTCCACCAAACCAGTATTACAAGAAATGTTTAAGGTCTTCTTTAAGGAGGAGAAGAAAAAGAAAAGATAAAAAATATTAGTAATAGAAAGGCAATAAATACATATCTATCAACAAATACTTTAAATGCAAATGAATTAAATGCTCCAATCAAAAACATACAGTGGCTGGATAACAAAATAAGACAACAAAATAGATAACAAAATAAGACATATGCTGTCTACAAGAGATTCACTTCCGATCGAAAGACAAACACAGACTGAAAGTAAAGGGATGGCCAAAAAAAATTTCATGAAAATGGAAAAAGGGAAAAAAAAGTTAGGTTGGCAATACTTATACCAAGACAAAACAGGCTGTAAAAACAAAGCCTATAACCAGAGACCAGAGAGGACCTAGCAATTCCACTTCTGGTATTTATCTGAAGAAACACAAAACACTAAATTGAAAAGACATCTACATCTACATCCACATCTACAATGTATTCATTGCAGCATTATGTACAATAGCCCAGATATGGAAGCAATCTGTGTCCATCAGTAGTGCACACATACAATGGAATATGATGACTCAGTCACAAAAAAGAATGAAAGCTGGCCACCTGCAACAACGTGAATAGACCTTGATGGTATTGTGCTGACTGAAATAAGTCAGACAGGGAAAGACAAATGCCAGATGATTTCACTAATATGTGGAATCTAAAAAACAAAATAAATGGACAAGCATAACAGAAACAGGCTCATAGATACAAAGAACATTCTGACAGTTCCCAGATGGGAGGGCATAGGGAGGAAATGGGTGAAAATGGTGAAGGGATTAATAGGTACAGATTGGTAGTTACAGAATAGTCCCGGGGATGTAAAGTACAGAGTAGGGAATATTGTCAAAACTATTCTAATAACCATGGATGGTGCCAGGTGGGTACTGAAAATATCGGTGATCACTCCTCCGTAAGATATATAAATGTCTAATCACTAGGTTTTACACCTGAAATTAATAATATCGTTCACCAACTGTAATTGAAAATAAGAAAATATTTTTTAAAATCCATCTCCAACATCCATTATTCTAATTAACAAAACCTCTGGTGTCACCCAGAAGTAAAGCAGACCCCCCCCCCCCC